GTAAGTCTAAAAGCATTACTTCTTTTTAGATGAATTTGTCTTTTTCCTTGACAAGTTTAAGATTTTACTCTTTTCTTTGGTTTTTCTACTTTTTTTTTTCTTTTTGGAGCAGGGTCTGGCTGTGTTGCTCAGGCTGGTTTCAAACTCCCAGGAATCAGAGGTTCTCCTGCCTCAGCCTCCAGAGTAGCTGGGAAAACGGATGAGTACCACAGGGGACAGCTTAGTTTTCGACATTCTTTATGATGCATCCAAACTTACACTTTTATGCTAATTGAATTTAGTTCCATGTTAGACTCTGTGTTATTTCTTCTAGCCTGTCCTCCAGATCAAGAATTCTTTCTAAAACTGTTTTAATCTTCTGTTAATCTGTTCAATGTTGGCTAAAATATTATTCTTTAATTTTTTGTATTTTTAGAAGTTTACATTTAAAAAAATCTGGCAATAGAGTGTTAGGGTTTCCTGTTCACAGATATCATTAATTGATCTTTTACACTTTTCAAACATAATTAGTACAGTTGAGAATATTCTTTATGTATTTATTCCAGTATCATGGATTTGTTCTACTCTTCATGACGCCTGTAGCCTTTGGGTACTTTTCTGTCCTTGACAATATCTTTGACATTTGTAGGAATAATTTGATGCTTCAGAAAGTAGTCCTTTCCTCAAATAATATTACATTTTCTTTCTTTTGAGTGCTTGGGGCACTTCAATTTGAGACTAGCTTAAACCAAATTCAAGCTCTCACATTCTCTGGTAATCTGAGCAATTGAAAACAAGTTTCTAAATAAAAAATGAATGTAGGAGGCATGGTGGTTCAGGCCTATAACTCCAGCTTCCCAGAAAGCAGAGGTAAGAGATTTGTGGTCTAAAGTCAGACAGGATGACACTGTACATCAGAAACAAACTAAAAGCAAAAGGACTGGGGTCATGACTCACGTGGCAAAGCCTTTGCCCTGCAGTTGCATAAGCATGAAGCCCCGATTTCCTTTCATTCATTACATTTGTGGTACTTAATTATAGTGTTGAAAAACATTAGGTTCTGGTGTTCTATTCCACAGTAGGTTGACTATTGATAATGATAATGCTGCGTAGATTTCAAAAAGGCTAGAAGAAAGAATTTTGAATATTCTCACTACAAATGGTAAATTATATGATAAAATGAAATGGTAAATGTTAGAAAAGATAGTCATGTTTACCCTAATTTGAACGTCACTCAAAGTCTGCATGGATCAAAACATCATGTGGTATAACAAAATAGGTGGAATTGTCAATTTTTAAAAAGGATGTTTAATTGTGAAGTACTAATAGATGACTGAAGAAGTACATATGCTTGACCTAATTTAAACATTATACCATCTGTAATACATATGTGAACATCACATGGTAATGCCTTGTAATTATAATGTATAATTTCTATGTTTTTATGTATCAGTTAATGTTTTTCTGTTGTTGGTAATATTGGGGTTTGAACTCAGGGCCTCACACTTGCTGGGCAGGTGCTCTACCACTTGAGTCACTCCACCAGCCCTCAACAGATAAAACTTTAAAAGAAAAGAAAAAAGATTAATAAAATAAGTATGATTATAGATAATGGCATAAAAATAACAGTGAATTAAAGATACATGATAAATATTGAGGGGACATAAAAATGCATAGTATTAGATCTACTGAGTAAAGAATTTACTAGAGACTGCATTAGATGTTTGCTTTTTCTTTCAAAAATTTAAATCAAACTCTGTCTGCACTTGTGTACATGTACCTAAGTGATGATTCTAATCTATTCCATTTCATCCTCGGTGGTTTTTAATCTCAGGATGAAAAGTGGTTTTCCACTTGAATTTGTCCATCAAATTTACTCAATAAAATGGACAAATCCATTGCCAAGGTTCTTTTAGCTTCAGAAAACAATATAAAGCCGAGGAGAACAGGAGCATGCAAACACTCCATCTGCTCAATGGGGATTTCAGACACGACCACAGTTTCTGAATCTCAACCACTGCAGGGAATGTTTTGTTCATGAGTAAGGAGTTGATTCAACTGTTGACCATTTTCATGCAGGGCAACTGCAGGCTTAGAACCCACAGCTTCTAGGTATCAACTAGAACCTGGAGGCTGGTTTGTATTCTCATCATTATTGTGTGCTACTTTCTAGTTTCTTAGGATTTAATTTAATATTTTCTCCTAGTTATTTGAGTTATATAGAATTTGGGATTTAGAGTTCATCATCTACTTGCAACTTGAAAGTCAAATTGCATTAAAATGAATTGCAAGACATTTGTGTTTTCCTTTAGTTTTTATCTAGTCGGGAGTCTTTGTATTTTAAGTGGAGTAGTGAATCCATTTATATTGGTAGTAGTTATTGATGTATTTAAGTCTAACATCTTTTCTATTTATTTATTGTAGTCTTTCTTTTTTCATTCTCTTTTCCTACCTTCTTTTATCTTAATTACACATTCACTACTGTCTTGCTATTTCATTTCTATTAATTGTCTTATATGTCTCAATATTATTGTTTTACTGTTTTAGTTATTTATTTTTTTTACAATTTTGCCTTTCTATGCTTCAGTTTGGATATTTCTACATTAAACTTTCTTCAAGTTTAATGTTTCCTGTTTTGTTCATTTGACAAGACCATTCCATGAGTCATTATTTAAACAATTACGACATGCTTAAATTGTTTCAGTCTAGCACAAATTAATTCTTTAACCACATCTTAAAGTATAAAAACACAACACTTTTCCTATGACATTTTTACTATATTGTTACATACTTTCCTCCTGATTTTGTTATGAACTCATGGCTGTTATGCATCCAAATAGTCATTGCTCTTTTTTATGTGCTTTCAAAATATACATAGAACACTTATCATTTCAATCATCATTTTTTTGATCCACATTTTTATTTTCTTCATTTTTGGTCATTCCTTCTTATACTTCTTTGCTTATATTTGAGATCAGTTTCATTTAGCCCAGGGAACTGTTTTTAGTGGTTTTTTAACAGCATGAGTTTACAATTGTTTACTCTCTGCTTTTCTTTGAGAATGGGTTTCCATTTGTCTTTAGTTTTGAACTGTATTTTCACTGGGTATGGGAGTTCTTGGTTTGCATTAATTTTCAGTACTTTACAGATATCAAGACATGGATTTCAGGCTTCAGTATTTACTATTTCAGATTTAGCTGCTATTTTTACTATTTTCCTGAAGGAAATGTTATCTACTTCTTCTTTTAAGATTTTTTCTTTAGCTATGTTTTTTAATTTTTTTCTTATTTTATCATTTTTACATTTATCTGTGTTCTTTTTCCATTTCTTTTTCTTTCTTTCTTTTTTTTTTTTGGCAGAACTTAAGTATAGGTTTTCTTTTGTATAAATACTGGGGGAGGGGGTAGTTGGTAAGGTTTTGAGTCTGAGTTGATTCTTTACTCAACCTTGGGAAAGTTTGAGCTGTTACTTTCTCACCTGTTGCTTCTGTCCATCTTCTCCTCTATTTTTGGAAACTTCATTAGAGATATATGATATCACTTAACTATCTACAACACATTTCTTTTACTTGTTTGATTTGTGTTCTTTATGCACATTTTTCATTCTATATACTTCAGTTTAGACAATTGTACATTAAAGTTTTTTCAAGTTTAATAACTTTCCCATTTTGTCCATTTGACTCTTATGATCATCATTTGAGTCATTATTTCTGATATTTATAATTTTAGGATAACATGATTTTAAGAGTCATTTTATTTTAACTGTCTTTAACTTTTTGTTCATTTTGCCCATTTTTTTACTACAGTTCCTTTAACATATTTAAAAATATATTTTAAAGCTATTTATACTAATTCTAACATCTGGAACAAGTTCCTGTTTCTACTAGCTATTTGTTTTCTCTTCATGGTTGTCTTTTCTGCTCTTTGTGTGTGTGTGTTTGAATTTTCTTCCAAAGTCATATATTTGTAGGAAATAAATGTGATGAATAAAGTTTACATAATTTCATCAGTTTATTCAGATTGACAAGAGTGTTTGCTCTCTCTTGATCCAGTCAGGAGAAAAGCCTGTGTGTGTGTGTATGTGTGTGTGTGTTTAAATCAGGTACCTGATTCAACTCTTCTTTCTCCATTTCAAGGACTATAATAAGTTTATCTACTTTTCTGCTGTTTTTAACTCTGCTCTTATATACCACTCTGAGTGACTTTTAAGTATGAAAGATGTCTTGATGAAGATACCAGTTGTGTTTAAGACAGCCATCTTTTCCTGCAGGAACTTTAATGAGACCATGAGAAATTTCATTCTACACTTAAGCTGTGCAGCTCTAAGAAGGCAATCTAATTCTGTGTGGTTCTTCCTTCCCTCACTGCCTTGAGCTAAATTCACTATCATTCACACACACTATGTTCATCAATCCATGCTCAGAACTTATAACCAGGTAAGAAATGACCAGAGACATGAAACAGGCCCTTCCCACTTCAAGTTAGCTCATTCAATCCTCATTGCTCCACAACCCACCTGAACTACCACATACAGACACACACACACACACACACACACACACACACACACGAGTTATTTTTCCCCTGTATAGGAACATTGCTTTGTTCCATCCTATTTCATCCTATTTGAATGTTCCCGTATAATTTTGTATTATCTTACTGTGGTTTATTTTTCTAAATAGAATTAATCTACCTGTAATGTATATTATATAACTATTTGATTGCTTACTTAATTTCTAACTTATTTAATATAATAAAAATACTTTAAAGACAGATACCTTGCTTAATTCATTACTTTCTTTCCAGAACTTAGAATAATGTCCAGTAAATTATATATATTTATGTGTAAATAATTATATTAAGCATATATATATATAAATACATATGTGTATCTATATAGGGAAAGACATACACATGGGTTAAACTGTAACTGTTTAAGCATGTGAAAAGCAAGAATAACCTAAACATACCATATATTTCAATAGTTATCTTTAACACCTACTCTATTTTTATTATTTGTAGATTGCAATGGACCTCCTCCAAGAAAAAGCACAGAAATTCTGTCAGGTTCCTGGCCTGAACAAACATATCCAGAAGGGACTCAGGCTATCTACAAATGCCGCCCTGGTTACAGAACTCTGGGGACAATCATAATGGTGTGTAGGAGTGGAGAATGGGTGGCTCTTAATCCATCCAGGATATGTCGGAGTAAGTGCTTCTTATGCTTCTTTGAGAAAATGCTAAATATTTGATATTACAGCAATACTGTTAAACGATATCATTGCTGTCATTTAAGTACAAAACAATCTGTCATTTTGAAAAGAGAGTAGTAACCCTTAACATACAAACAAGCTAGTACTTTTAATTGTAAAGCAATAGCTTTCCCATTTGCAATTTTCCTGGTACTCAATGCTGTTGTCTAATCTAATGCAAATATCCTTGTCCCCAACTCTTAGATAAAATCGCTTCCCTGTGTTGCATACTACTATGATATCTTTTTTCTCCATTTTAGAAAAGCCCTGTGGGCATCCTGGAGATACTCCTTTTGGTTCTTTTCAGCTCATGGTAGGAGATGAGTTCGAATTTGGTGCAAAGGTCGTTTATAAGTGTGATGATGGGTATGTGTCAATATTAAAAGGTTTATGATTAAAGTTATAAGTAAGAACTGTACTTGTTTATATTTTAAGGACACTACATTTTTCTATTCATTTAAAACTACATGAGTAATTTGAAAAATTAAATTACAATGTAAAAGATTATATTTGGATGTCATATCATCTCTTTAACATTGAAAAATTAAATTATTATTAAATTATTCTGGTATAGTATTGCTATAAGAAGATGTTGCAACAGTATGCACATAAATGAACATTCATCCAAGTTTTTACTGTATTCTGCTGTTTTCAGGTTATCATGTGTGAAGGATGATGGGAATGTACCAAAATTACATTATGTGGTGACTATCTTGAAAAAAACTATGAAATTTAAAGGAAGCAAGACTTTCTTGGGGATAAATCATATTTATGGTACTATTGTTAAGATTGCATAGTATTCAAATTATTGATCATGCATACTAAAATGCTACTCTTGCAGAATCATTAATTCTTTTCATTCTAACCAACCACTGGATTTTCATGGCTGAACTCATTACTTTAGCTCATCAGCATTCTTTCTTCTCCATTACTCCTCTCCAGGACTACAAATTACTTTGAAGAAAATTTTGTATGTGGTAAAGCCAGAATAAGATCCTATAATTTTATACTACATAAATATAGATACAAATAAGAGCTTAAAAATGCAATCTTCTTATTTTCCCCTCATTGGTTTCATGCTTTGAGGCAATGAAATATATTTATTTTAACCTTGGTTTTGGAGTGGGTCTTCATTCCCAAAGTCTTAATACTCAATATCTGTACATATTTCTTAAAATATCACTTCACTCCCATTTTCTCTCTTACAAAAGCATAAATAGATCATGTGCAACATGGGCTTGGTAGGAAAAATAAATCTGATCCACTTTTGAAGCCCTTAGAAGAGATCCTGAGGTCTTGAAAACACCTAATAACATATCTCTATTTGCCCTCTCTCAACTTGGTCACTATCTGAGGAGACCTTTACAAACACATTATCAGAACAACTTTCAATCATTACCACTAACCTTAATACATATAACCAAGCGAGTTAAGAGTATCTGACCCTGCACCTCTGAAATGCCTCCTCTCCAATTTAGGTTTCACTCTTGATCTGGCAAAGGCAATCAAAATGCATATGCCTCTTCGATTTTATCCCCCCCCATTTTCAGTGATTAATATTTATAATTTCATAAAGAAATTATCTACACACTGTACTCTGACTCTGTTTTACTTATCATTACCTTCTTCATCTTTTATAAACTAGAGATAAATTCTGAGATAGCCACACTATACTCAACTTCAATCTCCAGCAGAACTTTATAAATCAGTGAAATTACTGATATTTATCAGTGAAATAAAGTCCTCAACAGGACCTATCCAAGATCAGCAAATAGAAGTAGTTGATGTTATACTAAAAATATTCTTGGGGGAATGTTTCACCTATCTGAAAGAATATAAATCTTTTGACCCAGTTGTAGATCTGATAGGATAGAGTAGGTTTACTATATCCATGATTTCTGACAGTCAACTTACCCTTCTTTCTCCTTTGCCCCTTTGACTTTTCCTCTGCTAAATATCTATTTAGCTAATTACTAATCATTTAAGAGAATAGTCAATATGAATATTGAGCTTTATTTCCCTACAAGCAGATAGTTTTACAAAGACACCCTGCAAAAGGTTTTTTTTCTAGTATTCTGCTTGTCTGGTTTGCAGAGATCTGAGCCATTTCTTTTCTCCAGTCATCAACATACAGACAACCTCTCTCTCGTCCCTCTCTCCCTCCATGTGTATGGACCCTGGAAGGCTTTGTGTAGAATTTTGCAGGGTGCCTGACAGAACTCTAAAAAAATGTATGGAAAATGTTGACTAAGGAGTCTGTTTTCTCTGTTGGAAGAGGGTACATTCTGTCTCATAGAAGAATTAGAGAATTATCTTAATGACCATTTTTTTTGATCTATGTGAGGAACAAAGCAAGTGTTCAAACTAAAATTCTGTGACTAAAATTTAGTCTATTGATATGTGTTCTTTCCTTAAAGAATAAGAAACAAGTCAAAAAAATAAAAGAAGGACAATACATGTTTTGAGTGAAAATTGTTTTGTTTTACTTGTGTAATGAGCAGAATAATCCTTATTTGCAGATAAAGAAAACAAACATCCATGTTGAATTATTTAGTAAGCCTGCAGGGCTTTTAAAGAAAGAAAGAGAGGAGGAGGTGGAGGAAAAAGGGAAAGAGAGACATTAAATGAGAAAGGAAGAGAAGAAGGGAGGTGGGAAGGAGAATTAAGGGAGGAAGGAAAATGAAAAAAGGAGAAGAAAGAAGGGCGAGCATACGTATGCTATTGTTTTCCATGAAATAGAGTTCCCAGGGGACACTCAGAATGGTCCTGAGCTCAAAACTGCATATAAACACATGATATCTCATAGCTTTATTATTTTGGGGGTTTCAGGTATCAAATGCTAGGTGAGATTGATTTCCGTGAATGTGAAGCAGATGGATGGACCAATGATGTTCCTATATGTGAAGGTAACTATAAAATTTATTTAGAAGTATATTGAAATACCTAAAATAACTAAGATTTTTCAAAATGCTTTACATTAAAATATCCCTAAGATTTATAATTAAATATTTATTTGAATTATTTTATGATTTCTAGTGCAAAGTATCTAGTAATTTTATTACTGTATTATTTTGGTTTTAATATGCCTAGTATGGAAGCTGGGGATATAGCTCAATGGTAAAGTGCTTGCATAGTAAGTGTGAGGTACTGAGTTTGATTCTCATCATCTCCCTCCTCCTCCCAAACCCACAATCTGTCTGACATCAGTATACCAAATATGAGTATTTCCTTATCTGATCTAATAATTAAAATACTGAATATTAAGAAATCTGAGTCTAATTTTTATTTGCTTTTAGATTGTAAACACTAGAACTACATATAACATCACTAGCTTAATTATCAGAGACTGAGCTTTGCTAATGAAGGTCTCATCCAATGACCACCCAAATGCCGGGGTCTGTGGTAAGAGCTGAAGTACAGAACATGGTTTAAACATCTCTTCCCAGCTCCTAACAGAGAAAAAAAAGGAGGAATTAAGAGAAAACTCTTTTATTTCTTACTAATGTGTAGAAGAAATGGCAAGAATGAGAAAAGGTAAATGGGAGAGAGAGAGAGAGAGAGAGAAAGAGAGACAGAATGTGATAATCACCTAATAATCCTATGACTAAAGAAGAAGAGGATTTTTCATCCATAGGATTGAGAAGATTCCCTAAAGAATGACTGCATCAAAATACATGGATGCTTGTTTTAAAAAAAGCCTATTAAATCAGTATTTATGGGTGACAGGACAGAAAACAGTCCTAGAATTTCCACTGTAACAAGCATCCAGTAAAATTCTAAAGTAAAACAAAGTTTGAATAACATAACCACTAAGAAACTTGAAAATATTAAGTAAAATCAAAAGGGGCATTCAAATTATTTCGAGCACTGAGATCAAAGAGGAAGGGAAAATTAAGGACAATCATTCCATTGAAGTAAATATTATTATAAAGTTTGATTTTTCATCTTTTCAGGATGCAGTGTCATATTATCCTGGGTCATAATGGAAAATTTGTATTTAATTATTCCAGCATTCCTATTTCTTAATTATTTGTGACACTTGTTATGAAAATACAGCTAGCATTCAAAGCAGTAATTTTATTTGATTACCCCATAGAAAAGAATCAGAGATAAATACTTTTTATGTTACTGAGTCTTTATCTCTTGTAAACAGGTATATCAAATGCTTCTAAAATACTTAAGTAATTTTCTTCAACCTTATCTTTCTCATGATTTTTTATGCACACACATTTTTCATGATGAAGTTTCTAAACTCTATTAAAAAAAGTGATGTTTATTTTTCAGTTGTTAAGTGTTTGCCAGTGACAGGCCCTGAGAATGGGAGAATTATCAGTGGTGCATTGGAACCAGACCAGGAATATTATTTTGGACAAGTGGTAAACTTTGAGTGTAATTCAGGCTTTAAACGTGAGGGACCGAAGGAAATACATTGCTCAGAGAATGGCCGTTGGAGTGATGAAAAGCCAAAATGTGTTGGTAAGACACACTTGCTTGTTTGATTGGTTGAAAGGTTTTAGCTTTTCTTATGAAAATATACATTTTGAAAAAGTGTCCACTCTAAATAACACAAAGAAGAATGTATTATTTCCCTGAAATTGATGTAAGTTTTCTTTTGCATGAACCATCTTATTTTATCTTTAGAACAGCTGTATCATTTATGTCCTCTTATCACCTTGACTTTGTAATTGAAGAAACTGTGGCACACAGTTAAGTCATGTGCCCTAAATTACTGTGACATAAAGATTGGGGTTGATTCAAACCTAGGTTATTACCTCACATTGACACCCACATTCCAACCATAGATATCAGTTTGATACAATGCTCAGCATTTCAGCAGCACAGTATGATACTGACCTCCCAAGCAGAATTTTTAAAATTTTGGACTCCAAAGTTTTGTGCTTATTTCTACTTGATTCATTGTGATGATATTCTATTTTTGAATTACATTTCTAGGAAGTGGCCCTTTTTTACATTTGTGCTATAATTTCACCATAAGTGTTACTGAACTGAATTGAATCCATTAAAGACATCTTTGCCTTTTATGAAAAGCTTTTACAGTAAGCTGTAAGTCAAGTTTCATTTAACTTTTTAGTCAAGCTATTGCTAACTTGTGCATCTTGATCAGTTGATGATTTTGGCTTTTGTTAAAAACAGTTGTGCCCAGTTGTTTTATTAGAACCATTTTTCACTCTACCAATTCTTGTTGGGCAGACCTTCTTATCATATTTGTTTTATAGCACTATCTAAAAATCTCCAAATTATTCACACTTTTTAATCTTGTCTCCCTTACAGTAAAAGACACAATGTGTTCTCTCCTTACGAACCTTTCTAACAAAACTGGTTCTTTGTGACAATAATGAGAAAAGAATATGTATATTATGTAGAAACTATTGTTTATTTAGGAGGTTTATGGAAGGGATTTACATATAGCAGCTAGTACTCTATGGTTCAAGAAACTTCCTTGGAATAGCTGATGCTGGAAGAAAGAGATGTTTCTAGATGAAGAGGAGGAGGGAAAATCACCCAGGTTAGAGTTGACCATGGAGAGGAACATGGTAAGGCAGGGGGGCTTCAAAGAGATCACACTGGCCCAGTGCAAGATACAGGAAGTTGGTCAGTAAGTAGTGGATTGAAGCCAGGTCCTGGTTTCAGAACTTGACTTTGCTTCAGAGTGATTTTTGAATAGATGAAGAATTTCAATGGAGCAATAAAGTGACGGTGTGAATGTTTGTTAAATTAAACACAAAGACAGGAGAAGAGAGTTTGGGAAACTAGTTATCATTGCCAAATTCCCAGGGGAAAAATGTTGGAGAAGAGTGGAGTTGAAGATGATGGCCAGTTTTGGGGAATGTTTTATTTTTTGACAGATAACCTGTATGGACAGGAAAACCACAAAGACATCAAGTCAATTACTTGTCGAAGGTATAATGAAAAATGAGTAAACGAACTTGAGAAAGTGTTCTGTTGATAATTATTCAATAATAGAAAATGTGCTATCTTTGCAGGTCACTCAGTGAAAATATTTATCACAATAAACTGATTGCTGCATTTAATTTCACATATATATTTGATGACTATTACTGGGTGCCACTTATTTCAAGAGAACTAATTTACCATTCTACCAAATAAAATTAGAAACATAATTTTAGTGAGAATTCTTTCAAAATGAATTTTGTTGTTCAACAGATAAATCTATCAATCAAGTCTAAACAACTTTTGTTTAGTTGGCTGATTGACCTAATGAGCACAAACTTTCTGTTTTTAATGTCAATAATAACTTGCTCACAGTCCTTTAATTTATAATAAACATTTCGGAATTAATTCCTTGTGTTTAGAAATTTCCTGTGCAGCACCAGTAATTATAAATGGATATTCTGTATCTCTGGAGAAAATTTATAAAGCAAATGAACGATTTCAATATAAATGTAAACCAGGTTTTGAATACAGTGAAAGAGGAGATACTGTGTGCACTGATTCTGGATGGAGTCCACAGCCTTCCTGTGAAGGTAATGCTGTTTTATTTTTCCATCTTTTTTGCTATAAATTCCATCAATTATTTTGTTTCTAGTTCCTTTTATGTTGTTTCATTTTTTATTCTTTTTTTTGTGGTGCTGAGGACTGAACCTAGGGCCACACACATTCTAGGCAAGAGCTCTAATGCCAAGCTACACACTCAGCCCTAATTATGCTAATAGATATAATTTTTTCAATTAGGCAATTTATTTTTCTCAAAAGTAGAGTACTAATTTTATAAGAATTAAATAACATGAAGCTCATATATCATAGAAATTTAAGGTTCGAAGTTGGATTTCGAGGTCAATTGGTATGATTTTCTCATTCTCAAGGCAGAAATAAATAGGGCCAAAGGGTTGAATATCTTATTATGTAGCTAATCCACGGAGCAGAGCCAGAACTATCAAAAGCTTCCTAATTCCCAATAATTTATAGTTCCCAAACCTAAATCCCAGAGATTAGTTTTAAAAAGTAATCATGTTAATATCAAATGATGAAACTCTTAATTCAGGATGGACTAAGGGAAGGAAGTGAAGATTTTCATAAACAGGCCTGATATAGTACCAAAAATGTCCTAATTCTCCAAAGCTCTTTCATGGAAGGATGTTACAAAGAGCCAAAGAGTTAATCTCAGCTGTGCTCTTTGCCCACCAAAATTATATCAGAAATACTGTGTTCTGGTTAGTCTACCTCACTTTATTTTTTGTTATTATTATTGTTGTACTGGGGGTACATTGTGACATTTACAAAAGTTATTACAATATATCATAGTTGAATTCATCTCCTCCATCATTCTCTTTTATTCCTCCTACCCCCATTCCTGGAGGAGTTTCAACAGGTGTCATTTTTCCATTTGCATGCATGTGTACATAATATTTCTACCACATTCACCTTTTCACCTCCCTGTACTCTCTCCCCACATCCTTCCCCCACCCACTGGTACCAACACCCCAAACAGAACCTGTTCTGCCCTCCTGTTCTCCATTTTTGTTTGTTTAAGATAGCTATACAGGGAGTTTCCTTGTGACAGTTCCACGTATATATGTATTATAACCCAAATTGGTTCCTCATTTCTATTTTTCTCTTTTCTGCCTTAGTCCCCTTCTTGTGGTGATTTCAACAGGTTTAAAAATCTATATTCATTCTTGTATAGAGAGAACATCAACCTTAGTCACTTTCTTAACTTCCTTCTTTTACCCTCCCACTCTCTCTTGTGACCTCCCCTTAGCAGGATCTGTCTTTATAATGTTGCTTGTATTTGTATTAGGTGGATATTGTACATATGAGAGAAAACATGCAGGCTTTGGCCTTCTGAACCTGGATACTTAAGATGATGTTCTCTAGTTCCATTCACTTACCTACACATGACAAAATTTTATTTCTCTTTATGGCTGAATAAAATTACATTGCATATAATACCACATTTTCTTAATCCATTCATCAGTAGTGGCGAATCTTGGTTGTTTCCATAGTTTAGCTATTATAAATAATGCTTGCAATAAACATGGGTGTACAGATGCCTTTATTATAACCTGACTTACATTCCTTTGGGTGTATTGCTGGAACATATGGTAGATCTATTTTTAGTTTTTTGAGGAGCCTCCATACTATTTTCCATAGTGATTGTACTAATTTACATTCCCACCAACAGTGTATAGGGTTCCTTTTTCCCCACATCCTTGCCAACATTTGGCTTGTGGTCTTGATGATAGCCATTCTAACAAGAATGAAGTAGAATCTTAAAGTGTCTTTGATTTTCATTTCCTTTATGGCCAGGGATGTTGAGCATTTCTTCATTGATTTTTGGGGAGTTTAGTATTTTGAGCTCCCTGTTTATTCTAGTTATTAGTCCCTTGTTAGATGTTTCTCCCTCTGTGTGGGCTGCCACTTCAATCTGGTGACCATTTCTTCTGCTGTTCAGAAGATTTTTAATTTCATAGTCCCATTTGTAATTCTTTTCTCTTAGATGCTTAGCCTTTTGACTTCTATTTAGGAAGTCATTCCCTTTGCCTATTAATTCCAGTGTATTTGCTGCTCTTTCCTGCACTAACTTCAAAGTTTCAGGTCTTATATTAAGGCTCTTAATCCACTTTGAGTTGATACTTGTACAGGATGAAAGATTTAGCTTCAGTTTTCTGCGTGCAAATATCCAGTTTTCCCAGCATCATTTGTTGAAGAGGCTGTCTTTTCTCTATTGTATGTTTTTGGCACCTGTGTCAAAAAACAAGTAGGTGTAGCTTCGTTGATTCATATCTGGGTCTTGTATTCTTTTTCACTGGTCTTCTTGTCTGTTTTTGTGCCAGTACCTTGTTAGTTTTAGTGCTATGACTCTGAAACATATTTTGAAGTCAGGATTGTAATACCTCCAGTGTTGTTCTTTTTGCTCAGTATTGCCTTTCCTAGTCAAGGACTTTTGTGCTTCCAAATGAACTTTAGGGTTGATTTTTCGATCTCTGCAATGAATGTCATTGGAATTTTGGTGTGGATTGCATTGAATATGTACACTGTTCTTGGTAGTGTAGCCATTTTCACAATATTGATTCTGCCAAATCATGAGCATGGGAGAGCTTTCTATCTTCTGTTGTCTTTGATTTCTTTCTTCAGTGGTTTAATAGTTTTCATTGTAGAAGTCTTTACTGCCTTTGTTAAGCTTATTCCTAGGTATTTTATCTTTTTTGATAGTCTAGCTCATGTTAAAATGGGAATTTTCAAACTATTATGACCTAGAAAGGAGAATATAGATAAAGAGTCATACCATTAGGAGAACAGACAGAAGATATAGTCACAATGTTAATGATGACCTCCTTGAGATATTTGCAGGCATTTCTGAACAGGAGGGAGTTCATTTTTGATTAGTGTTGTGGCAGTGAGAGAAAAAAGGACCAATAGGATGATATATTACTAAGTGACATAAATGTGTAATTTTTATATGTTTTTCTTGCTATGGGGCAAGAGGAGATGAACTTCAACTCCTATGACACATAATTACATGTATATACATGTTTTAGTTATACTCTTTTACAAAAAATAGAGTGAATTTTGAAGTGATTTTAAACCTTTTAAATAAATTTGGACTTCAGTCAATAAGCATAACCATGGAAATCCCATCTTCACATCTTCACAACTGAGGGATCGCCACATTTAGGAACTGTTAAGAAAATACTTTAGAAAAAGGCTAATGAACAGACAACAATGAGCACCACACAATATTCATGTTAGGCTGATGACATTGACCCCATCTGTTTGTTTTCATGGTGCTCATGGTTCTTAAGCAGAGGAAATGTGTGCTTACCTCTCTTGGTATTAAACTTAGTGATATGCTTTGTTTTCTGTAAACCTCTTAAATAATTATTTTTTTCATCCAAGCATTAAAATGTAGCTTATAAAGCACTTATTTTGCATTAGGTCCTCATTTTGCATTCAGGAGGAACTCTACACTAAATTCATTCCATCTTCCAGTGAAGTCAGTATAAGACTTTGGGAATTCAGTCTTAGTTGGATGTGTGATTTGGTGTAGCATGAGTCTACTTCATTGAAATCATCTAACAATTTCAAGATCATCATATTATTTCATTTCTTTTTCTTGGTCACTTACTCACTTAAAACTCTTGCTTAACATATATTTGTTTTCAAGATGGGAAATCTCTCTGATTTTTCCTCTGTTGCTAAAATCCCTAGGGTTGTTTTTCTTAAACACTTGATTTATTTACACACACACACACACACACACACACACACACACACACACACACACACTTTACCCCAAAGGCTCCACATTTATAAAACATTCCTCTTTCAGATTTTTTTTCATTTCTCAGTCACAAGTGGAAGGCAAGTCTTAAAAATTCAAGACTGTATTCTTTGGATACTGATTTCTTTTGGGAGAGAGATGCCACAGGAATTCACCGGACTTGTATTGGGTACTCTCTTTCTTAAGATAGTAGTTAATAGTCAATATAAAGAAGAGAGATTTACCACAAATTAGATAAGTATCTAGGTCCTCTTATATTATGTTTAATTTTATCAAAACACACTTAATAATAACTAGCTATAGAGAGGTCTCATTAATAAAAGCACTCCACTTTCTGTACCTTGGCTAACGCGTTACATCTCCATTTTCCTGGTATACTGCAGGAACCTGCCAGCTGATATATGGTGTACCCATATAACCCAAAACTCTGTTCATATTTACATATAGTTAATTGATTTTTATGAACACTGACTTCTACATTATTTATGTATCTTTCTTTTCTAGAAATGACATGCAATACTCCTTATATTCCAAATGGCATCTACTCACCTCAAAGGATTAAACACAGAGCAGAAGATGAAATCCGATATGAATGTAAAAATGGCTTTTATCCTGCAACTCATGGAAATACAGCAAAATGCACAAGTAGTGGCTGGGTACCTGCTCCAAGATGTAGCTGTAAGTTTCATTCCATCATCACCTGCTTCTTGATTCAGAAATTGGCTAACGTTGTGATTCAAATGCTAAATCACCATCCAAGGAAACAAGGCTCTGAGTACCAACCCCAATGTTGCCAAAAAAAGAAAAACTACTTTATTCTGAAATTACTTTCTCTCAAACATATTAAATGGGCACATAATAAAAGCAAATATCTATCTAACTGTGTAGGTAATGTAGAGCCTTTAGAGGCACTCTTTACTTTTCAGAGGAGCTGATTCTTAGTATAAAAATCACATTTTTCGTAAACTAAAAATTCAATTTCTTGTGACTCAAAATTAAATATGTGTGTAAATGTCCATTTCTTTTATTAAGATGATTCTTCCAATATCTGAATTAAAACATTGGGTAAGAATATTGTCATCTACCTTTCTTGTGATATAGGGATTGAACCCAGGGCCTCACATAGACACTAGACAAACACCTCCCACTTGAGTCATGACCCCAGCCCTGCCATTTAATACTTACTATGTTAGTTAGTATTTTTATCATGACAAATAACCCCCAATATATATTTGCTTAACGCAACCTGTGATATTTCACAGTTTCTTTGGGTCAGGTATTTGGGATGACTTGATGAGGGAGTTCTGAACTGTAGTGTCTCCTTGTAGGTAAATAGAGTGTTGATGTCTGCTATAGTCCCCTGAAAGCTGGCAGGACAGCAGAATCAGATTCCAGCATAGCTATTTTGGTGGGAGGCCTCAGTTCCTTACCACATGGGTGTCTACATGGCTTACTTGATGACTGCTAACTTTCTCCAGAGCTGCTGATTTGAATGATAGGAAAACAGGCCTGGAAACCATTTATGGTCTATTCACTTACTGTTACTTCAGCTTTGTCTATTCTTTAAAAAAGTGAGAAACCACAGTGAACACATGCCCAGGAAGAGGGAAATTAAACTCCACTATTTGGGAGGAAGGAGTTTTGAAGTTCCTCTGTAGTTTCCTAAGACACTTACATGTAGTAAAATACCACTTGATGGAAGATTATTTTATTTCTGGGATGCTTCATAGTCCTTTTGAAGTTTCTGTCTGTCTCTACAATCATAAGAATTATACATGTACCATACATGTAAGAATTATAAGGAAAATAGCTCACTATTTTTGTTCTCTGTTTTTTTAAATTGTTGTGCTAGGTAAGGGCACATTGTGGCTTATAGTTGGCTTTTGACAGGTAGCTCTGTCCAAATGTATCTAGACTAACTGTGGCTGAACTACATCAGGATATCAACAAGATTATTTCATTGTGGACTTTCTGAATTTCTTATGGACATGATAAATTTACCAGTTACATTGTTATGTGCTTGTAATTTCATTAAATAATTTTATGTAATTATCAGACACAGGGCTTTTTTCTCAGACCTGCTTCATTATTTATTTCTGTCATCAAATATTTTAATGTTTTAGGGAACATATAAATTCACAACTGGAATGACACAAGGAATAATGAAAGTGAATCTACATTAGGACAGATCATTCGAAGAGAATCCTGTGTGCCAGGTTGAATTTAATAAAATGAAATTTAGAGTGATAACTCTTAAGATTCTGGGTTTGGTCAAAGAAATGAGCTGCTTAGTTCAGACAGATTCACAACAGCAACAAAAACCAGTGACTATTTTAGTGAATTTTAGGATTAGTGTGAGTCAACATTGAGATTGAACCACATAGATAATAGTGAGGCCATAAACTGCATTGGTAGGGGTGTAAGAAGTAGAATCAACCTGTTCTAAGGACTGACTCTGCTGATCAGACCCTATGGAAATACTATTCTGTGTCCAGGTACCACCTTGTTTCCACACCAGACAGAAGAGTAGCAAAGGGGCTCAAAAATATTATAATTTTTTAAATTTTATTATTCATATGTGTATACAAGACTTGGGTCATTTCTCCCCCCTGCCCCCACCCACTCCCTTACCATCCACTCCGCCCCCTCCCTCTCCCCCCGACCCCCTCAATACCCAGCAGAAACTATTTTGCCCTTATTCCTAATTTTGTTGTACATAGAGTATAAGCAATAATAGGAAGGAACAAGGGTTTTTGCTGGTTGAGATAAGGATAGCTACACAGGGAGTTGACTCACATTGATTTCCTGTGCATGTGTGTTACCTTCTAGGTTAATTCTTTTTGATCTAACCTTTTCTCTAGTTCCTGGTCCCCTTTACCTATTGGCCTCAGTTGCTTTTAATGTATCTGCTTTAGTTTCTCTGCGTTAAGGGCAACAAATGCTAGCTAGTTTTTTAGGTGTCTTACCTATCCTCACCCCTCCCTTGTGTGCTCTGCTTTTATCTGCTGCTTTTATCATGTGCTCAAAGTCCAATCCCTTGTTGTGTTTGCCCTTGATCTAATGTCCACATATGAGGGAGAACATACGATTTTTGGTCTTTTGGGCCAGGCTAACCTCACTTAGAATGATGTTCTCCAATTCCATCCATTTACCAGCGAATGATAACATTTCGTTCTTCTTCATGGCTGCATAAAATTCCATTGTGTATAGATACCACATTTTCTTAATCCATTCGTCAGTGGTGGGGCATCTTGGCTGTTTCCATAACTTGGCTATTGTGAATAGTGCCGCAATAAACATGGGTGTGCAGGTGCCTCTGGAGTAACCTGTGTCACAGTCTTTTGGGTATATCCCCAAGAGTGGTATTGCTGGATCAAATGGTAGATCAATGTCTAGCTTTTTAAGTAGCCTCCAGATTTTTTTCCAGAGTGGTTGTACTATTTACATTCCCACCAACAGTGTAAGAGGGTTCCTTTTTCCCGCATCCTCTCCAACACCTGTTGTTGGTGGTGTTGCTGATGATGGCTATTCTAACAGGGGTGAGGTGGAATCTTAGTGTGGTTTTAATTTGCATTTCCTTTATTGCTAGAGATGGTGAGCATTTTTTCATGTGTTTTTGGCCATTTGAATTTCTTCTTTTGAGAAAGTTCTGTTTAGTTCACTTGCCCATTTCTTTATTGGTTCATTAGTTTTGGGAGAATTTAGTTTTTTAAGTTCCCTATATATTCTGGTTATCAGTCCTTTGTCTGATGTGTAGCTGGCAAATATTTTCTCACACTCTGTGGGTGTTCTCTTCAGTTTAGAGACCATTTCTTTTTTGAGCAGAAGCTTTTTAGTTTTATGAGGTCCCATTTATCTATGCTATCTCTTAGTTGCTGTGCTGCTGGGTTTCATTGAGAAAGTTCTTACCTATACCTACTAACTCCAGAGTATTTCCTACTCTTTCCTGTATCAACTTTAGAGTTTGGGTCTGATATTAAGATCCTTGATCCATTTTGAGTTAATCTTGGTATAGGGTGATATACATGGATCTAGTTTCAGTTTTTTGCAGACTGCTAACCAGTTTTCCCAGCAGTTTTTGTTGAAGAGGCTGCTATTTCTCCATCATATATTTTAGCTCCTTTGTCAAAGACAAGTTGGTTATAGTTGTGTGGCTTCATATCTGGGTCCTCTATTCTGTTCCACTGGTCTTCATGTCTGTTTTTGTGCCAGTACCATGCTGTTTTTATTGTTATTGCTTTGTAATATAGTTTGAAGTCAGGTATTGTGATACCTCCTGCATTGTTCTTTTGACTGAGTATTGCCTTGGCTATTCGTGGCCTCTTGTGTTTCCATATAAATTTAACGGTAGATTTTTCAATCTCTTTAATGAATGTCATTGGAATTTTGATGGGAATTGCATTAAACATGTAGATTACTTTTGGGAGTATCGACATTTTTACTATGTTGATTCTACCAATCCATGAGCATGGGAGATCTCTCCACTTTCTTAGTCTTCCTCAATCTCTTTCTTCAAAGTGTATAGTTTTCCTTATAGAGGTCATTCACATCTTTGTTAGGTTTACACCTAGGTATTGATTTTTTTTGAGGCTATTGTAAATGGAATTGTTTTCATACATTTTTTTCAGTTTGCTCATTGTTAGTGTATAGAAATGCTAATGATTTTTCTATGTTGATTTTATATCCTGCTACCTTGCTATAGCTATTGATGATGTCTAGAAGCTTCTGAGTAGAGTTTTTTGGGTCTTTAAGGTATAGGATCATGTCGTCTGCAAATAGGGATATTTTGACAGTTTCTTTACCTATTTGTATTCCTTTTATTCCTTCTTCTTGCCTAATTGCTCTGGCTAGGAATTCCAGTACTATGTTGAATAGGAGTGGAGATAGTGGGCATCCTTGTCTGGTTCCTGATTTTAGAGGGAATGGTTTCAGTTTTTCTCCGTTAAGTATAATGCTGGCTGTAGGTTTGTCATATATAGCTTTTATAATGTTGAGGTACTTTCCTTCTATTCCTAGTTTTCTTAGAGCTTTTATCATGAAATGGTGTTGGATCTTATCAAAGGCTTTTTCTGCATCTATTGAGATGATCAAGTGGTTTTTGTCTTTGCTTCTGTTAATGTGGTTTATTATGTTTATTGATTTTTGTATGTTGAACCTCCCCTGCATCCCTGGGATGAAGCCTACTTGGTCATGGTGAATAATCTTTTTGATGTGTTGTTGAATTCGGTTTGCCATTACTTTGTTGAGGATTTTTGCATCAATGTTCATTAAGGAGATTGGCCTATAGTTCTCCTTTTTGGAGGTGTCTTTGCCTGGTTTTGGGATAAGTGTAATACTGGCTTCATAAAATGTGTTGGCAGTTTCCTTCCCTTTCTATTTTGTGGAACAGTTTAAGGAGGGTTGGTATCAGTTCTTCTTTAAAGGTCTGATAGAATTCAGCAGAGAATCCATCAGGTCCTGGACTTTTCTTTTTGGGGAGACTCTTGATTGCTGCTTCAATTTCATTTTGTGTTATAGATCTATTCAGGTGATTAATTTCCTCTTGGTTCAGTTTTGGATGATCATATGTATCTAGAAATCTGTCCATTTCTTTAAGATTTTCAAATTTATTTGAATATAGGTTCTCGAAGTAGTCTCTGATGATTTCCTGGACTTCCATGGTGTTTGTTATTTCCCCT